TGCATGTCGTCAAGTAAGTGATATTTAATTTAACCATATTAATCAAAATTTATTATTTTATAATATTTTTTTATTTTTTAAAAAAATTGTACATATAACAAGTTGTTCATATACAATTTTTAACTCCACTTGCTCGAAATTTACGTAGTCGGTCTAAAGTCCGGATAAAGAAAGAGTGCTTATCTTTTTTTTTTTTAAATAAAAAAGGTTTATCTTTAAAAAATAGAAAAATGGACGAGCTAGCGAGCCGAAGCTCGCTTGACCCACGAGCTCGAGGGCCGGGCCGAACTGAGCTCACACCTTAAGTAACGAGCCATGAGCTCGGCTTGACCATTGCTACCTCTAGATGAAGACCAGCAAACTTACTGACCAGCGTTGGATGCAGAAAAAGGAAGGAAAATGGACGGTCCAAATTAAAGTACTCGAAACTACGTCGTTTTGAGGAAAGCTTGCCAAGGAAGCCCAAGGTGCTTTTGTAATTGCTGCCCTTCGAATCTAATGACACCTGTCATATTAAGCCACGCCTATGCTTCCGGCTATCTTATAAAAATTTTGGAACACCTTTAAGGTCAGCACATCACCCACCTTGGGGATAACTATTGACATCCGAACTACTACCTCCCATAAATAATTGTTTTCACCTCTTGCTCTATAAACGTGAAGGTCGGATACAGGATACATGTGAGATCAGTTCGAACTCGGGGTCATCGTAATTAATGGAAACATAATGATGATTGAATTTCTGCTAAACTAACAAACCTCTTAATATATCAATCCAGCAATAACACTTGGCTGCTCCAAACGTCAGCACCTCCCCTTTCAACCAATCAGTGATTAACAATGATTACATGATGTTAGCCCATCATTACCCGACAATTTAGCATAATCTAACATAATAAAAAACTAGCATGCCGACCTCAACAACCAATCAATACATCCAAGCTTGGATAAATGGCACACATAAATATGACGATATTGTAACTGACAAGATCGAAGTTGTCCAATAAAGTGATCTACATTCCACATACCATTTTCCAAAAGGGCAAATTTCTCCGATCATTAGAAAATAAAACTTGAAATTAAAAAAAAAAATGGTCTTCTCTGTTGTTAGCAATTACCTCGCTTCCTTCACAAACACAGTCATGTCGGTGGTCGCATCGCGACCGCCATTACTTTAGAAAATTAATTTATATTAAAAAAATTGATATGAAAAAAATGAGCATCCAAGATCTCAGAATTACTATCAACATAATCTTACATTTATGGAGTTGGTATTTGACGGTGAGTCATGGAGGAATAGGATGTGTAA